TCTCCTATGGTGAGAGCAAGTGTATGGAATTCCAAATCAGGCTTAGAATTCAACCACAGAGCTTTCACTACAAAATAAGAATAAAACCGCACTGCCCCAGATTTATAAAAGCATCTGTCATTCGCTGATCTGACGTGCAGGTATAGTACTTTGATACAAAGCAAAGTTTCACGACCAGGCAAGTGATTAAATGATTCTGTTTGTTTCAAAGAGGTTCCTTGGAATATTCCTCATTAAAGACTCTAAAAAGGTTGACGGAGCGCAAGATTATTTCTCGTGGCGGCAGGAGGAACACGAAAGCATGGAAGAAAATCGATTACAGAATAACGATAATTGGACTTTGGGACAATTGCATGAGAGTGATTAGTGATCACTGAAGGTTAGAGAACAATTAGCCGGATGAAGTGGGTACACTGGAAAACATGTTCGTCTACTTGAAAGTCAATCAAGATATTACATAAAACTCCACCGGACTGGGAATTGCATTATAATAATCTAAAAACAATGTAATAGGCTTTTCCAATGAGCCCCGGAAAAGGACTAGAGTACGGTAAATCTAGTGGTAGAGGCCATATTTACTAAAAACCTGCCAATAAGACTGACGAAAACAGAAGGTTCCCTCAGTCTTTTAGGATGAAAGGCTAGAAGTCTAGTTCTACTTCAGATTGCTTTTAATTCGTGGCTCAAATAACATTGCTTGATACGCTGACACCTGCATATTCCAAAGTGAGCGCTCCGGAGAGGTAGCACAGAAACTATCAGGAGTTAATGGCTACTGTGTAGGTAACTTCTTCCTGGAGTTTTGGACGCCCCTGGTACAATAACCCCGTCAAACCTGTCACCAGCTTCATTAAATACAGCAGAGTTGCTCCAGGCATGCAATACCTCAAGTCCATCACTACATCATCAGCACGTTTGCCACAGATGAGGTCATGCCACTAAAAACATAAACAGAAAAATAGAAGAAAATTGATGGCTGCTGGCTGTTAGGTCAGAAATGGGGGGATGGGTCACCAACGCTTAGGAGTAGTTTTTCCGTTTGTAATGACAACTCCAGTTGGACTGAGTAGGCTCGATTCACCTCCGGCATCTGTGACAAGCTACAGTAATTAACATGTCAGTAGTGTCAAAAACCCAACAATAGCCTTTTACGCTGTACTGAATTGAGTGAAATCAGACATACAATACCCATACTGTTACAGATCTCGACCCAAAAAGACAGAGGAACAAGAGGCTGGTAAAATTGTTTGTCCTTTTCTTCCGTACTGATGTTAACTTAGCCCCTCAAAATGACCAGGAATTTTCCATCTCGAAGGCTAAATTGCCAAACGAAACAGATAGGAATTCACCCATTAAAGCAGCATGCCCTTCAAGGGGTGAGAGATGACCCATGCCAAAAGCTTTTTCCGAATGAACTTGTCTCCCGCCCATACACCATCCTTTTGCTTCAGTTCTATCCACGACCGTGGATAGCAAGTCCTTGATCCCAAAGAAAATTTTCCAGTTGATTTTGCGACACTTGACATTCCGGATGACCTCGTGTGCGCTTAATAGAGTTGTGATTTGGTTGATGTCGCATTTACTCAACCTAATCTGATTTTTCGAGAAATACACTCATTTGCAAATCAACTTGGTTTTCACGACCGACTCAACTGAATCTCTCGTTTATGATAGTCCACAACTGAATGTGTTGCACACAGGCTGCCTCATGATTTAGTTGGCACAATATTCGAGATATCGCAGTATATTTTCATAAAGGAAACTACTCAAAAGGTTGCTGGAAACTGTTCGACAGCCCACGACCGGTTTCACCCTTCTTTGAAGCTCATCAGCGACGAGCAGTCCCCGAGTTTTCGTCAACCTATAAACGAGAGATTCAGTTGAGTCTCTCGTGAAAACCAAACTGATTTGCAAATTAGTGTAGTTCTCGAAAACAGTGCAATTCGGGTTCAAATAGAACATAAGGTTGACAGAAACTCGGGGACTGAGCCTACCTGATGAGCCCGAATTGGAAGGTCGAAACTGGTCGTAGGCTGTGTCGAAGAGTTTTTAGCAACCTTGTGAGTAGTTTCCTTTATGAAAATAATCTGGGTTCCGTCTTTCGGCTGGATACAAAAACACTACTGTCATTCTGGTGTCCGAAATGATGTATGTAACCATTAACGGTTTCATAACCTAATCGGAGCAAGATCGAGGCCGTCTGAGCCACGCTGAGTGTACCCATACTGTTACAGATCTCGACCCAAAAAGACAGAGGAACAAGAGGCTGGTAAAATTTTTTGTCCTTTTCTTCTGTACTGATGTTAACTTAGCCCCTCAAAATGACCAGGAATTTTCCGTCTGGAAGGGTAAATTGACAAACGAAACAGATATGAGTTCACCCAGTAAAGCAGCATGCCCTTCAAGGGGTGAGAGATGACCCATGCCAAAAGCTTTTTCCGAATGAACTTGTCTCCCGCCCATACACCATCCTTTTGCTTCAGTTCTATCCACGACCGTGGATAGCAAGTCCTTGATCCCAAAGAAAATTTTCCAGTTGATTTTGCGACACTTGACATTCCGGATGACCTCGTGTGCGCTTAATAGAGTTGTGATTTGGTTGATGTCGCATTTACTCAACCTAATCTGATTTTTCGAGAAATACACTCATTTGCAAATCAACTTGGTTTTCACGACCGACTCAACTGAATCTCTCGTTTATGATAGTCCACAACTGAATGTGTTGCACACAGGCTGCCTCATGATTTAGTTGGCACAATATTCGAGATATCGCAGTATATTTTCATAAAGGAAACTACTCAAAAGGTTGCTGGAAACTGTTCGACAGCCCACGACCGGTTTCACCCTTCTTTGAAGCTCATCAGCGACGAGCAGTCCCCGAGTTTTCGTCAACCTATAAACGAGAGATTCAGTTTAGTCTCTCATGAAAACCAAACTGATTTGCAAATTAGTGTAGTTCTCGAAAACAGTGCAATTCGGGTTCAAATAGAACATAAGGTTGACAGAAACTCGGGGACTGAGCCTACCTGATGAGCCCGAATTGGAAGGTCGAAACCGGTCGTAGGCTGTCGAAGAGTTTTTAGCAACCTTGTGAGTAGTTTCCTTTATGAAAATAATCTGGGTTCCGTCTTTCGGTTGGATACAAAAACACTACTGTCATTCTGGTGTCCGAAATGATGTATGTAACCATTGACGGTTTCTTAACCTAATCGGAGCAAGATCGAGGCCATCTGAGCCACGCTGAATGGACACCTTAACCAGTGAGACCAATAGATTATGCCGGCGTTGTTTAAAGGAGGTGTCTCACTACAAAAGCACCAAAACGCCTATGGTGGTAAAGTGGTCAACTGGCTGGTTGTGTTGGCTTCGGCAAGTAATAAATACAGTCAACTGCTTCTAATGAAACTAAGACACATGCTCCATTTTTTGTAATATCAGTCCGCTGTTGGGTGACAAATAGAAAACTCACTATGATTCATAAATTTGTTCCTAGCCACAGCACTCTCGTTTGAACGGCCTGTTCTGTTCTGGCGTAATTACTCCGGTGAGTCCACACCAAAGGGAAGCACTGGACTCGGGTTTCGCTCTTATTAGAGCTCATCAGCAGTGCGTATCCAATTCATAAATTGGTGAATTGATGAGGACGGCGTAGGGCCAGAGTGGGTCAGGGGCTTTGTGGTAGCGACCACCCTCATCAGAACCGTTGATCCTGATGTTCCAGGTGATGGCTCTAGGAGAAGAGAGCCGTAACCGTTTTCAGGTTAACTTATTCCTTCAGACAGTCTTTTGTATTATTCGACGTCCTATGAAGAAAACTCACTGGACCGACAGAAAATTTCTTCTTCTTGAGGGATTCTCCTAAAAGCTAGTATGGTCTACTCGAACAACTTTGCTTAGGAGCACTCATCCAGGTTTTCTTTTGCCCTATTACTTGCCCACATCTTAGTTTTACACGTTTTGTAGTTCGAACATGAACGGTTGTTTCGTATGGAAATATCATATGGGGCACTTTAAAGAGTTCTTTGCTCCTTCCATTGGCACATCACCCAAAAGGGTACAAGTGCACGCTTTGCGCTGCCATTGTCGTTTCAATCGCTGTTATTGCGCTCTCGCACTTGTTTAATGGAATACATAAACTTCACTCGACTGTGAATACAACTCATACGCTATGTTTGTTGCTTTTGGCTAACGTGTTTTGGCTGGCGAATCTGCGTGAAAGATCTCTCTCCTTAATTTTATAAATTGCTTATTTGTGAAAGGGACATGACTTCCTTATAATAATGGGAATTTCCCCGACTGACTGGTTACCTGTCGCTATTTGAATGGTATCAACTTATGCTTCAACCGATGTCCGTAAACATCCCAACCAGTAAGACAGCTCAGTTCTGAGTGGAAGTCACTCTCCATTGGAACTGAGTTATACCCATAAGGACACGTCCTCGAAGGAAGAATTAACCACCGGCACAAAAGTACCGCAGTCACTAAGGTTGTCAGTTCGACAGTTTGTCGAAATTTTGGTAGCTCGAATACATTGCTACCCGCTGAAAAATATGTTTGCTGAGCTCTAACGACACTACATTTTTCGCATTGAACGTATTTGGATAAGAGATGCCTAAGATGATGCGCGCTGACAAAGGGACCGGAAAAATTACTTGGTTAGGTCAGAAATCTTCTAAATGGAAGAAGCTGCATCTTAAGCTGCGTATTTTTTCCTGTTCAGAACATTTTGGAACAAAACTCGTAAAGTACATCGGAACACAACACCCTTCTGTGTCGAATACTCTTGACACTGTTTCTCTCCAGAGATGCGTTTCACGAACACTGCGCATTCAACAATTGGAAAACTGAAATATAGAGCTCGACGTTGGTTCGCTGTCTCCTGCCTGTGACGCATCATGCAGTACTTCGCAACACGGTATCATTCGGGGGCAACTGACCATATTCAGTCTGATTTCAGAACGCAGTAACTCAGTGCCTCCTATTTATCCCCTAGGAATGTATTGCTCTGCAGAGGTGCCATAGTATGTTACGTCTTAACAAACCGAATTCGGCAAACTTCGGTCGAACCATGTAGACCGGTTCGCAAAAAAAAACAATCCATCCGTCGATTCTTAGTTTCCTTTGAACAAAGTCGGGTTAGAGTACTTAATACACATCTATATCATTTGTGGGAGAATCTACGCATAGCAGTCGATTTACGTGGGTGGTATGGTACCTGATAAAATTTGAAGGCTTCCGTTTTCATTTCCAGTGTATTATTTAAGGCTACAAGATGGAGACAGAAGTAGTTTTACGTAACGCAGTTTGTCGTCACAAACATCATTACTCGCCAGGACCTGCTCAGATCCAAACAAGATGAAGGCGGCGGCTATTTTAGCGAAGACTCTACCCTTCGTGTCAACAGATTCTCGTGGCGGCGGCTATTTTAGCGAAGACTCTACCCACCCTTCGTGCAAATTCTCGTTTTAAAAATACATATGCAAACTTTTCGCGAGCTTTGAACATATAAGTCACTTTCAAATTTTTGCCAGACAAACAATCATGGTGTCAGAACATTCTATTAAGATTCGAAAAGTTAACTGGATGCCTAATTTACTGCTTTACTTCGTTGAAGACCTTGTTCCTTCCACCACGTTATGCGGATTCGTGCAGTTATGTCCAAATGTAACTTCCTCTCAAGGTCATGTCGTAGTAAGGCATTCAACAGATGCCCCAGAATGCAAGATGTATCCACGAACTTTCGTTTTCTAATGAGACTGGCTATCCAGATTTCGTGACCAAACTCGCTGCAGATTAAGTAACCCATGCAAAGACCTGACATTCTGAATATCTTCCACATCTCCACAGAGCATCGTGTTTACAGCCCTCAATTTGCAATATATGACAGGTATGTGACCCATGCATTCAAACCCCAACTACAAATCTCAGAATAATAAAAATTCTCACACTTTTATTCGTGATGACACAAATTAAACTAAGTGGAAACGAGTAGTCGGACATGATGCAATTTGAAAGCGCAGGCTTTCAGGCATGTGGGTTTCGAATGGTGAACTTCCCATGTTCATTTCTAAAAGGTAATTTGAACTTTAAAACAAGTTTGAATGTCATTGAGCTATTATCATACTTTGTACCTAAGAGTTTCACAGGGATTTGCGTTTAGTGAATACCATCAGTTTGACCGGTGTCGGGCAGACATTTGCTTCGTTTTAGCGTGGACTTGCGCGGACCTTTTGGTGAAAATCTGCGGCAGGACAGAGCTTCTAATTATAGAACCTACAAGGGAAACAGTTGCTGTTTTCAACACAGCGCAGTTTTAAGATATGTAGGCTGTCACCACGACCGAAACTTGCTTGACCCAGACGTGAATGGAATCAGGTTGGGGATGTCACGACTTGTTTTGTGTGTAGGCCGTTTCACACGACGAGAACATGCTGTCACTCAACGTCAGTCAGCCTGACATGGAAACTCATGACAACAAAACTGACTCAAAAGAAACTACTCACGAGGTTGCTGAAAACTCTTCGACAGCCCATGACTGGTTTCGCCCTTCTTCATCATCATCAGGTAGGCTCAGTCCCCAAGTTTCCGTCAACCTCATGTCCTACTTGAACCCGAAGTGACTTTTTTTCGAGAAATACACTCATTTGCAAATCAACTGAATCTCTCGTTTGTGAGTAGCTTCCTTTGTGAAAATATACTGCGATATCTCGAATATCGTGCGAACTGAATCATGAGGTGGCCTGTGTGCAGTTGTAGAATATCATAAACGAGAGATTTGGTTGAGTCTCTCGTGAAAACCAGATTGGTTTGCAAATGAGTGTATTTCTCGAATACTTAACTTAATTTCAGGAAAACAAACTGTGACTACAAATTTTTCGGTAAACTACCGATTTTTTGAATAACCGACTGGAATATGCTTATAACCGACGGATAAGTTTTGAAATAAACCCCTCTGAGTTCTTGACAAACCTTTCTAATACCACGAGTTAGTCACAGGCGGCAAAATGTGCTGATGAAATTTCCTCATTTGAACATTCCCAATTTTCTTTGCAGAAGCTTGCGTAAAATGGGCGGATACCAGGTACCCGTTGGAAATAACAGTAGAACCAGGGAACTTTTCTTAAACGATGGACAATAATTTTGTGATTCGATTCTGAGGAGCATCTGTTTCTGCCGAATCTGCTTATTACTTTTTTGGTCATTGGTTTTACGTGATATTTTCGATGAATCGGGGATGGTTGGTGAACTAAAATTGTAAGGGCTGTAAACGTCTCGTAGGCAGTTTGGACGACTAGCAATGTTGTGGAATGTAGGTAGCTCGGGTG